TCTCTGAATCTCTTCTACTGTCCCTAATCCATCTGATAGTACAGAGCCTTGGGGGCAAACTGCACATGCTCAGTTTGGGGTGTATTGGCAGAGAGTTTATTTTTCCTTTTCTTTTGCATGTGATCAGCACAGGGCCAATCAGCACTATCCAGAGGGCCAGGGGTTATGCAGCCTCATAGGTCAACCAGAGGAGAATGAAAATATAATCTTTAACCAGTGCTCTGCTGAACACTGATAGAAGTCACAAGACTGCTCTAACTGCTGACAAGAAAAAGTATTCAGCCGTATAGATTTGCTAAAATAATTGCATTTCCATGTCCTGTGTACTGTGGGAGACCAGATATAGTGAATGCAGGGTCCTGGGTTTAGTAACACTAATTGTAAAGCCTTACTTATGAAATATATACACTTTTGCGTAATAGAGGAAATAACACAGCCTTGTAGTTAACATTCTTCCTATGGAGCAGCTTACTGTACCAAACAGAGCTCGGGAAATTTAGCAGTCGCAGGCCATCTTTCAAATTGTAACTGAGAATTGTGCTAAAGCGAAGAGACGATGAATGGACAGCACACAGTCTCATCATTAACCCCCCCCCCCCATACCACTACTATAAACAGCATGGAGTTTTTCATGCAGTAGACAAGCATGTGGGTCTTCCCATCTTGGTCCAAGACATCCAGAGGCAGCCCAGAACATTGGTCTGCAGGTGGAAGACATGGTAAAGGAGTCCACAGGAAGCTGTAAGGAATACAACAAAGCAAAGCTGTCTGATCTCCTTCACCCCCCCCCCCCCCCCCCATTTAAAATATGGGTACAGCTAGCCTGTTAACTAGTGGGTGATGTAAACTGACCTCGCTATGCACTCTTGGGAGATGGGAGGCAATGTGCAAGGCAAAATTGTTGACAGGGCAGCAGCTGTCAGATTTCAGGAGACATCCAACCTCTACAGTCAAGCTAAAATGTCAAACTCAGAAAATCATGTAAAGTAAATAAAGAAGCAAAATATGAAATCTTTCATTAACAAACCTGGCCAATATACAAAGCCTAAAAATTCTGATTCTAGTGAAATTCCTAATGTAACTGGTTCTCTTTGAAAGGATACATAAGTACCAAGAATTAACTTATTTGTTTTTTTAATTAGTCCCTTTTAGTCTGTTAAAGCTGAAGTTTATCATAAAAAAAATTACTCGCCTTACTCTGTCAGCTATATCCAGTCGTTGACCTCACAGTGGGATTGTGGGAAAGCTCAGGATTGCAATGCTTGTGAAACGACGCTACTGCGTTGTACGGGAGCATGTTCACAGGATTCAGGTCTCTCAATTTTCCCCAAGATGACCCACTAATGTCACCTTGCCTAGGTGAACTTTCACAAGCTTGGGAGTAAGATTTTCTCAAAAGGTTTTTTCCTATAAAGCCCCTTTCACACAGGCTAGATCTGGCTTTGCTTAGCCGGGGATCTGTCCGCTGATTCCCCTGCTGAACAGTCTGCCGATTCCCCCGCTGAACTGAGCAGACTACCGGATGACAGGTATATGTCTGCTGTGCTTATGCATTGTGGACACGGACAGCCTATTCTGCTCTAGGGGTGATCAGACGGAAACAGACTGGCCATCTGTTTACACCAGACTGCCCTCCAATCCGATATGGCCAATCAGAAGGAAACTGATCCCCTTCTGTTTGGTTTTGCTGGATGGGATTGGAGGTAGCTGGGTGTACACAGAGACAAGTCTGTTTACATCGGACTGCCTATAGAGAAGGAGGGTCCAACAAAAATGGACAGGCAGACCTGATCGGACTGCTCATGTGAAAGGGGCCCAATACAACATTCAACCACTTATAACAACCTTTAATTTTTGTGCCAAGTCCTCCACGTCATTTAGTCTTCAAACTGCATTAAGGGTTGCAGGCAAGATCTGACCACCAAAAATTCTAAAGCAATTCATAGATTAGTCAGTTGGGTTGGAGAAAAAAAAAAAACCCAAACACTAACTAGATTCCACACAACCTATGTAGATGGAGGACTAGTCCCCACTGAGCTATTGTGTTCTGACAGCACGATCACTCTCTTGCCATCAGGATACACTAATCTGCATTGCAGGCTATAGCCTGCAGACCTGATCTAAAGGGGAAAATCTGACAGGGCAGTTGTACAGAAGTTGATCAGTAGAGCAATTTCTGTATAACCTTCCTGCCCATACATGGAATGAAATTCAGCCAGCTTAAGTAGATCTTGCAGGGAACAAAAGAAACTGGCAAGAAAAATCGACTTTGTCCATCAATTCCTTTCCTGAGCAGACCCTGCTGGGCGGTGTCTAAAAGTCAGGAAGAACATCTGGACATATGTGACTAAATAAACAGACCAGGTGAGATTATTATCGGATGTCTGCAGACACTTTGAACCTCTGCAACAATGAAGAGGTGCTGGACAATACTACGAGAGGGGAAGATTTTTTTTTATTTTATTTTTTTTTAAGTGTTTTCCAATGACATTCATCAAGTTATTGACTGTACTAATGAGAATATGTTCATGCAAACATTTGTTCACAAATCTACTAGTGTATGGCCAGATAAGACATCAAAATGAGCAAATTTTCCCCAATTCAAACTTTTCTGCCATGTTGCATTACCACACGTGTGTTTATGTGCAGTAATTTCAGCACCATTCATTGTTAGCGGCATGTCTAAGCACAACACAGATTTAAATGCACCAGCAGCATTTTTTCTTTCACCATGGTGCACTACAATGCATGGATGCTTCACATCCGCTTGTTGCACTGGATTGGCCAAGTACATTGGCTTGCCTTTTTAAGAATGACACCAAACCACACCACCTATCATCACCACAACATACAAATGTACATACAGCCTAGCACAGACCCAGATGGGGAAAGAAAAGATAGTTTCTCAACCAACCCTCCTTCATTGCTGGTGAGAAAATACTTTCATTCAACTCAGACTGTTCTCAAAACAGCTGGGAATGGAAGAAACAATAGCTGCGAATACAAGTTTTATTCCTACTAGGCCAGAAAAAAAACACAATAACCATGTTAAAGAATTCCCAATGGGACATCATGGAGGTAGAATAGCAAGCACCAAGAAAAACAATGGCCACCTAAACACACCCAGAGACTACAAGCCACCTGCCTTGAGGCACTACAAGAAAAGGACGCCTCAAGTCTTTTACAATGAAAAGGAATCAGGGAGGTTACTTTTCTCATGAGAAAAGAGGGTCATTCTGAAGAGCAAAATATTCCAAATTTCAGACTCTACAAGAATGCAGGACAGGCAGGCAGGCCGGCCATGGACCAAGGACACATTCTGCAAGGTGTCAGCTGCATGAAAAATCTCCAGTCACCAGATCTCACCTAGCCTACTGAGCTCAAGATGATACAAGTCTTTGCTGCTACATGGGCTTCCCTTCAATGTCACCTAGCCTACTGAGCTCAAGATGATACAAGTCTTTGATGGTACATGGGCTTCCCTTCAATGTCACCTAGCCTACTGAGCTCAAGATGATACAAGTCTTTGCTGCTACATGGGCTTCCCTTCAATGTCACCTAGCCTACGGAGCTCAAGATGATACAAGTCTTTGATGGTACATGGGCTTCCCTTCAATGTCACCTAGCCTACGGAGCTCAAGATGATACAAGTCTTTGATGGTACATGGGCTTCCCTTCAATGTCACCTAGCCCAAGGAATCCAGATGAGCACACATATGGGACATGTGCTTCCTACTCCCATCCTTGACATCACCTAGAGAACCTAGTCACCTAACCTAGTGAACCCAGATGTCTTGGCCAGTACATGTGCTTCACCCCAATGTTACCTAGGTCCAGGGACTCCAAATGACAAATCTTGGACAATAGCCATGCTTCCCCTTGATGTCACCTAGCCTAGAGAATCCAGAGGACATGTTTTGGCTGGTACATGCACACCCCCCAACCCTCTTCCCCCATGTCAACTAGTCTAAGGACTTTAAATGACATGTTTTGCTGGCATAGGTGTCACCTAGCCTAGAGAACCCAGATGACACGTTGGATGGTATGTGTGCTTCCCTCCCAGATGACGTCTATGGATAGTAGATGTGCTTCCCTTGTCATTGAGCCTAGAGAACCCAGACGACACTCATCGTGGCCAGTATGTGTGCTTCACCTCAACGTCACCCAATAAAGGGGACCCAGATGACACAACTTGACTGGTACCTGTACTTCCCCCTGATGGCACCTAAAGAATGCAAATGGCAAATATCTTAGCTGATCCCTGTACTCACCCCCCCCCCCCCCCTCATGTCACCTAGTCAGTGAACCCCCAATGACACTTGTGTGAGCTGTATGTGTGCTTCACCCTGATGTCACCTAACTGCTTTGGTTGGTACATATGCGTCCCCCAACGTCACCCAGTGACCCCAGATAGCACATCTTGGCAGGTACTTGTACTGCAACCTATCCCCCCCGTCACCTAGCCCTGTAACCCCAGATGGCATTGTCTTGGTTGGTACATGTGCCACCAACAGGCAGTGTGATAGCAGCTGTGGAGAGAACTTCTCGTCAGTTTTCCAGGGACACGGCCACAGGTCACCGGAGACTGTTCTGCAGATCAGAAGTACTTGTCCCTGCTTGGCACAGCTTTGTACAATGGCCCCAGGGTCATCTTCTGGAAAGTTCTCCCACCATAAAAGGTGACAGAGCAGCAGATATCGTCCTCATAGAACAGTGCTGTCCCAGCCACAGCCAGGACTGATCAGGACAGTGCTGTCCCAGCTGTAGCAGAGCAAGGACAGCTTCTTCCTGATCAGTCCTTGAATGGGACAGCATCGCCATGGTCAGTCCAGTTCCTAGTTCTGGCTGGGGACAGGGTCCCGCAGGGTCCCGATCAGTCCTGGCTGGGACAGTCCTGGCTGGGACAGCAGGGTCCCGATCAGTCCTGGCTGGGACAGCAGCAGTCCTGGGGTCCCGATCAGTCCTGGCTGGGACAGCAGGGGGTCCCGATCGGTGAAGTCCTAGGGACAGCAGGGTCCCGATCGGTGAATAGGGACAGTCCCCCGGCGCTCATACTGACCTCCCTTGCAGGGGGTGCGGTGCTGGCTGTGCTGGGCCCGGTAGCCCTCCACCACCTCCCAGTCGCCGTTGTCCCTCTTGATGGGGAAGCTGACACTGAGGACATGGTTGCACGGCTTGATGATGCGGAGGATCCCCTTCACCCTCTTCCTCTTCTGCTCCTCCGTCTCCCGGGTCTTCAGGTCCTCCACCAGCTTGTTCTCCACGATGCCGGCGCCCCGGTCAAAGAAACCCTCCACCATCTTGAAGAAGTTGGGGTCATCCTCCGGGTCCACAGCCTGGCTGTATCGGCGGAGGAAGGGGGCAGTAGAGGCGGCTGGCAGAGCGGAGTCTGCGGCACAGGAGGCCAGGGCCCCCCCTCCCCGGGACACGAGCTCCCCGAGATAGCGATACATGACGACCACACAACGCTGACTACAGGCGGAGGATGGACGAGGACGGCCCGAACGGCCAACTATATACGGGGCCCGAGGGGCGGGGAGCACGTGCACGGGACGGGCCGCTGTGGAAACGCTGGTGCGCGTGCACGGGAGGGAAGGGGTGAGCGCGCGCTGAACATTGATCTCCACACCCTGAGCTGTGCGCGCTACTGTGTGTAATGGAGTACACTGTCCGTGTCACACTGGAGGTCACATCCCAGTAATTAGCTGTCATTTCATCGCTGCTACTGGTCACACTTCCATTATGTCATTACGATTGTGTGCTCGGCCATAAAGCACTCTCCTGCAGTGCTGCCTTCCTCCATTCACAGCTGGCTGCCTCCATTCACAGCCAGCAAGTGTTTGTGGAGGAGTTCATACAGGCTTTGTAGTGTTTACCATGACCATAGGTGTGCCTGGCCCTTCTATCATACACATGCACTTCATGTTTTCTTCATGTGCCTGTGGCGGCACTTTTTATGTGTGGCCCTTAGGTTCCTTCCATCCCTGTCTGAGGGTCTGTCCTCAGGAGACCCCCTAACCCAATGCCGGACAACTTTCCCAGTATGCGGGGCCTAAAGTGAGGCCCTCAACATCACCAAACAACATCACGTTCCATGAACATGTATCAGAGACAGCAGACGCACAACAGGATATAGGCAGAGACTATGGGCATGATACTAAGGCTACGTTTACACTAGCTTTGTCAGCAGGCGTTTGGGAAGCATTTTTAACGCTTCTCAAACGCCTATGAAAATTCTGCACATGGCTGCACACAGTGTTGTTCACACTGAAGAGTTAGTGTCGTGTTGTGTTGCAGCAAAACTGACGCCTCGTGTCCAGTCAGGAGTTGAAGCCTCCCATTCAAGTCTATGGTGCCGCTCCGAAACACCTGGCAGGCACTTGCGGTGTGGTTGCGGAGCATTAATACCATTTAACTTCATTATAGGCATTTGCGGTGCGGTTTTAACATTTGGCAAACGCCTATCAACCGCCTCAAAACCGGGCATAGGGCGTTTGGGGAGCATTAAAAATGCTTCCCAAACACCTGTCAAACGCTATAGGGGTGTTTGGCAAGAGTTAGAAATAGTCAAGTGTGAACGAGCCCTAAAGGTGGTCAAAAACTACAGGCATGATACAAGAGATGGTCAGAGACTGCAGGCATGATAGACTGCAGACTACATGCATGATACAAGAGGTGCTGCAGGCAGAGACTACATGCATGATACAAGAGGTGGTCAGAGACTGCAGGCATGATACAAGAGGTGCCACAGAGACTGCAGGCATGATACAAGAGGTGGTCAGAGACTGCAGGCATGATACAAGAGGTGCAACAGAGACTGCAGCATGATACAAGAGGTGGTCAGAGACTGCAGGCATGATACAAGAGGTGCAACAGAGACTGCAGGCATGATACAAGAGGTGGTCAGAGACTGCAGGCATGATACAAGAGGTGCCACAGAGACTGCAGGCATGATACAAGAGGTGCCACAGAGACTACAGGCATGATACAAGAGGTGGCCAGAGACTGCGGGCATGATACAAGAGGTGCCACAGAGACTACAGGCTTGATACAAGAGGTGGTCTGCGGGAGACTGCGAGGCATGATACAAGAGATGATCAGAGACTACAGGCATGATACAAGAAGTGCCACAGAGACTGCAGGCATGATACAAGAGGTGCACTGATACAAGAGGTGCCACAGAGACTGCAGGCATGATACAAGAGGTGCCAGAGACTGCGGGCATGATACAAGAGGTGGTCAGAGACTGCGGGCATGATACAAGAGGTGGTCAGAGACTGCGGGCATGATACAAGAGGTGCCACAGAGACTACATGCATGATACAAGAGGTGCCACAGAGACTGCAGGCATGATACAAGAGGTGCCACAGAGACTGCAGGCATGATACAAGAGGTGGCCAGAGACTGCAGGCATGATACAAGAGGTGGCCAGAGACTGCAGGCATGATGCAAGAGGTGCCACAGAGACTGCGGGCACTGCAGGGATGCAAGAGGTAGCCAGAGACTACGGGCATGATGTAAGAGGTGCCACAGAGACAGCGGGCATGATGCAATGATGCAAGAGGTGCCACAGAGACTGCGGGCATGATACAAGAGGTGTGCCACAGAGACTGCGGGCATGATACAAGAGGTGCCACAGAGACTGCGGGCATGATACAAGAGGTGCCACAGAGACTGCGGGCATGATACAAGAGGTGCCACAGAGACTGCAGGCATGATACAAGAGGTGCCACAGAGACTGCAGGCATGATACAAGAGGTGCCACAGAGACTGCAGGCATGATACAGAGAGGTGCCACAGAGACTGCAGGCATGATACAAGAGGTGCCACAGAGACTACAGGCATGATACAAGAGGTGGCCAGAGACTGCAGGCATGATACAAGAGGTGCCACAGAGACTACAGGCTTGATACAAGAGGTGGTCAGAGACTGCGGGCATGATACAAGAGATGATCAGAGACTACAGGCATGATACAAGAAGTGCCACAGATACTGCAGGCATGATACAAGAGGTGCCACAGAGACTACAGGCATGATACAAGAGGTTGCCAGAGACTTAATACCAGAGACTGCGGGCATGATACAAGAGGTGGTCAGAGACTGCGGGCATGATACAAGAGGTGGTCAGAGACTGCGGGCATGATACAAGAGGTGGTCAGAGACTGCAGGCATGATACAAGAGGTGCCACAGAGACTGCAGGCATGATACAAGAGGTGCCACAGAGACTGCAGGCATGATACAAGAGGTGGTCAGAGACTGCAGGCTGCAGGCATGATACAAGAGTGGCCATACAGAGACTGCAGCATGATACAAGAGGTGCCACAGAGAGAGACTGCAGGCATGATACAAGAGGTGCCACAGAGACTGCAGGCATGAGACTGCAGGCAGAGCACAGAGTGCCCAGAGACTGCAGGCATGATACAAGAGAGTGGCACAGAGACTGCAGGCATGATGCAAGAGGTGCCACAGAGACAGGGGGGGCATGATGCAAGAGGTAGCCAGAGACTACGGGCATGATGTAAGAGGTGCCACAGAGACAGCGGGCATGATGCAAGAGGTGCCACAGAGACTGCTGGCATGATACAAGAGGTGAGACACAGAGACTGCAGGGACATACAAGATACAATGAGGTGCCACAGAGACTGCGGCATGCATGATACAAGAGGTGCCACAGAGACTGCAGGCATGATACAAGAGGTGCCACAGAGACTGCAGGCATGATACAAGAGGTGCCACAGAGACTGCAGGGCATGATACAAGAGGTGCCACAGAGACTGCAGGCATGATACAAGAGGTGCCACAGAGACTGCAGGCATGATACAAGAGGTGCCACAGAGACTGCAGGCATGATACAAGAGGTGCCACAGAGACTGATACAGGCATGATACAAGAGGTGCCACAGAGACTACAGGCATGATACAAGAGGTGGTCAGAGACTGCGGGCATGATACAAGAGATGATCAGAGACTACAGGCATGATACAAGAAGTGCCACAGATACTGCAGGCATAATACAAGAGGTGCCACAGACTGCAGAGACTACAGGCATGATACAAGAGGTTGCCAGAGACTGCGGGCATGATACAAGAGGTGGTCAGAGACTGCGGGCATGATACAAGAGGTGGTCAGAGACTGCGGGCATGATACAAGAGGTGCCACAGAGACTACATGCATGATACAAGAGGTGCCACAGAGACTGCAGGCATGATACAAGAGGTGCCACAGAGACTGCAGGCATGATACAAGAGGTGGCCAGAGACTGCAGGCATGATACAAGAGGTGGCCAGAGACTGCAGGCATGATACATGCAAGAGGTGCCACAGAGACTGCGGGCATGATGCAAGAGGTAGCCAGAGACTACGGGCATGATGTAAGAGGTGCCACAGAGACAGCGGGCATGATGCAAGAGGTGCCACAGAGACTGCGGGCATGATACAAGAGGTGCCACAGAGACTGCGGGCATGATACAAGAGGTGCCACAGAGACTGCGGGCATGATACAAGAGGTGCCACAGAGACTGCAGGCATGATACAAGAGGTGCCACACAGAGACTGCAGGCATGATACAAGAGGTGCCACAGAGACTGAAGGCATGATACAAGAGGTGCCACAGAGACTGCAGGCATGATACAAGAGGTGCCACAGAGACTGCAGGCATGATACAAGAGGTGCCACAGAGACTACAGGCATGATACAAGAGGTGGCCAGAGACTGCAGGCATGATACAAGAGGTGCCACAGAGACTACAGGCTTGATACAAGAGGTGGTCAGAGACTGCGGGCATGATACAAGTGATGGTCAGAGATGGTCAGAGACCACGGGCATGATACTGCGGGCAAGAGATGGTCAGAGACTGCAGACATGATACAAGAGGTGGTCAGAGGCTGCGGGCATGATACAAGAGATGGTCAGAGATCACGAGCATGATACAAGAGGTAGTCAGAGATGGCAAATCGGGTGCAAGAGGTGGTCAGAGACGGCAAATCGGGTGCAACAGATTTTCCATGACTGCATAGGGGACCAATATGGTCAAGGAGGTCCTTCCTTGGCCAAAGGAGACCATTGACACACATTCAGCACTTTGTGTGTCTGACATGCACATTTTTGGTTCACTTTCTGATTAGTTTTTTTGTGTAGTTAAAAATACAAGCAATATGCTTCTGGGTGGGAGGAGAATAGAGGACGCATAGTTCAGGCGCAAAAACACATTTACAGGCACTTCCATTGAAGTCTATAGGGCCAAAATGCCCAACCCAGCTTGGAGCGACTGAGCATAGATGTTAGTAGGCTGTGCCAAAAAG